AAACCATTTCAGGTGACTACCTCTTGAAGCTCATGGAGAGAATGCCAAGAGTGTGCAAAGCAGTAATCAGAGCAAAGGGTGGCTATTTTGAAGAAACTAGAATATAAAACATGTTTTCAGTTATTTCACCTTTTTTTGTTAAGTACATAACTCCACATGTGTTCATTCATAGTTTTGATGCCTTCAGTGAGAATCTACAATGTAAATAGTCATGAAAATAAAGAAAACGCATTGAATGAGAAGGTGTGTCCAAACTTTTGGCCTGTACTGTATATATATATATATATATATATATTTTAAACATGCTTTACCAGACAGTTCAGTTGTCCTTTTGTAGTAAAGGTAGTGAAGCTAAGCTAATGTAATTAAAACTGACTATTTGCTATGAAATAAAAAAGATGCATTTAATGGGATACATTATGCTGAAATGATTTAGTAAGAAATATTTTTACCATCTAAAGCCATTCTCAACCAATACATCTCCAATTTTGATTAAACAGAAAAGGGTAATATTCACTGCTGTTAAGATGTAGTGTTATTCGATGATATATTTGATGAAAAAAAATAAAATAGAAAATAGTATGATTTCACCATTTCTGAGATGTTTCCTGGGCATTATATTATATGTTAAATGATGATATGTATGTAAGATCATGATGGATTCAGTCGGAGCCGGTCTATTTTCTTTGTTTCTTTCTTTTCTTTGTTGTTTCATTCATAGTGGATGTGGATTATGATGTGTCATGTTTGAGTATTGTCACCAGGTGACTGTGTAGGCCTCAGAAATGCAAAAACTGATGAGGATCTTTATGAACAAACAACGTACTGGACTGTTTCTATAGTTTAACAATGGTAAAAAAATGCCGTTTCATCCTCATTTATAAGAAGATTAGATTAAAGTTAAAACACTTAAATTATTGATGTGAGCTGTGATAATTTAATTGGTGTAAATCACGTGCCTGTCACGTGACCCAGCTGTCGGGGCCCTGCCAGTGTACAGTAGCAGGTTGCAGGCAGAGGAAGAAGCAGCAGTACAGAGCAGAGGTAAGCACTTCACTGTCTGACCATTGATGTTTCTCCGGCTTTGTTGGCGACAGGTCTGATTTTATCTCCGCTCTTTCTTCACCACACTATTGATCCGTGGATCTAATGAACAGCTACGTGCTAGTATTTAAAAACCCGTCAGAATAAACAGTCGGCTAACGTGCTAGCTGTAGCCTGTTAGCGACGAGTGCCAGCGGCGGATGGACGGAGCCTGTCTCCGCTGA